TTACAGAGAAGAAGGGAGAGAGATAGAGAGTTAGAAACATCGATGAGAGAGAAACTCGATCAGCTGCCTCCTGCACACCCCCTACTGGGGATGTGCCCGCAACCAAGGTACACGCCCTTGACCAGAATCGAACCTGGGACCTTTCAGTCCGCAGGCCGACACTCTATCCACTGAGTCAAATCAGTTAGGGCACAATGAGACTTTTTTCTCGTGTATTATAAATATTTTTATTGGGTTTTCATACTTTTCCCAATTATCTATTTTAATCCATTGGATGGATATATCATAATTTATTAAAGCATTTTCCTGTTTTGAGCATTTAGGTTTCTTCTAATATTTTGCTATTATAAATAATGTTATAATGAACATCTTCATGCACATAGGTTTCATCTTCCTTTGGGTTATTTCTTTTTAAAAATTTATTGATTTTAGAGGGGGGAGAGAGAGAGAGACAGACAGACAGACAGACATCAATTGGGTATATTGGGATGGTGCTCTAACCAACTGAGCTACCTGGCCAGGGCTGGATTATTTCTTTAGGGTAAATCCCTGGGAGTTGTTATTGTAGGGCCAAAGTATGTGTAATTTCTAGGGCTCTTGAAAATATTCCCAAATTGTTCTCCAAATGGGTTGTAGTCCTGTATTACAATTACCCAATCTACTATTAGAATTTTTTCAAGGTTTTCTATTTTGGTAGGAAAATAGTATTGCATGGCTGCTAGCTTGTGTTTATGTGGCAGCTTGTGAAATTGTAGTATATTATTCGAGGAGCCAAGGTTATTCTGTGCAGCTGCCCCTTGGGCTGGTTGTAACCTGTACCCTGTATAAAAATAATGATCTTTGTGGTTTCCCCCAGGTCTCCCTCCTCCAAGCGGTCTCAGTCTCCTACCGAAAAGTCAGACCACTCTAAATTTGACCTGGCAACCAATATCTCCAAACTCAGAAGATGACTTTTATGTGGAAGTTGAGAGGAGGTCTGTGCAGATGAATAGTGATCAGCAGAATATTAAAGTGCCAGGCAACTTGACATCTGTGTTACTTAACAATCTACACCCCAGGGAGCAGTACATAGTTCGAGCCAGAGTCAATACCAAGGCCCAGGGGGAATGGAGTGAAGACCTCACCGCTTGGACCCTTAGCGACAGTAAGTGACTCCTGCTGCCCCAGTCGTCCTGGTTGACTTTTTAAAATATATATATTTTTATTGATTTCAGGGAGGAAGGGAGAAGAAGAGAGAGATGAGGGAATCATTGATTGGCCACCTCCTGCATGCCCCACACTGGGGATCGAGCCCACAACCCGGGCATATGCCCTGACTGGGAATCAAACCATGACCTCCTGGTTCATAGGTCAACGCTCAACACTGAGCCACACTGGCCCGGCCTGAATGACTTTTGACCACTTAGCAACCCTCACTTCCTGATGTTTCTTAGAAACCATAAAAGGCAGTTAGTTGTGAATGGAGGCTAATCAGTATCCTGAAACATATAAGCAAGCTCCATGTAAATGGATTTGCAGTAATTCAGGCAGGACTGTGCTAAAATTTATCTTTCCTTGGAATGGAATGATTTGTTGAATAAATTAATACCATGAATAACATTTTTCTAAGGCTCATTTAATCTGCCATAGGAGAGCTTTCAGGATCATCATGTATCTATATGTACATAGATGGTGATTAATTATAGATGGGTCTTCCCTAATCATAAAAGCCAAATAACTCTGCTTGACAAATATTCTTAACAGACAATCTTGGAGCTACAATGTATATATATTCAAAAGTAGTAGGAATATGACTTTTCTTTCAAAATATTCTGCAAATTAGGCTCTTAATTTCAGATTGGTTATTTAAAATGAGTTGCAACCTCTCGGGTTTCTTTGTGGCATTGAAAGCTTTTTCATCATTAAGCAGAGAGTTCTGTTGTAATTCAGGGCTTTAGAATAATGTCTGTGCATTGGAGGCCTTGGAGCGGTCAGATATTTCTTGGCCACAGTAGCGACTACTTCAGTCAGGATGTCCGAGGCTCTCTCCTGCGCGGGCCTCTGCTTCCTCAGTAACAGGTCTGGCACCTGGCTCAGTGCTTCTCTTGTATCAGTGGTGTGGGCAGCTCAACGGTTTTGTCAGTGTTTAGGGAGTCACCATCATTTTTCACAAATTCTGTGAAATTTAAAAATTACAGAGTAGTGCAGAGAATAGTACAAGAAATACATCCCTACCACCCACAAGTAACAACTGCTAATATTTAGTCATGTTTACTTTCAGCTTTTTTGTTGATTTGTGGAACTAATAAAAGACAGATATACCAAGTCCCCTTTGACCATCATCCCTACTCTAATTCTAGTCTCCTCTCCCCAGAGACAACAAGATTATGTGTTTGTTATGTACCTTCCACTCAATGTTGTAGAATTTTAATACACGCTATCCATAACATACATATGCATACATATTATTCTTTATCTTGCTTTTTTGAATAAACATTATTTTATCTGTCCATGTTAATTTGCTTAGATCTGACTTATGCTTTTTTAACTTCTGCATAATAGTTTATATTAAACTTGGGCATTTTGGGGGCATTTAGATTTCCTCTTGTTTGATATATTTGTTGATATATCAACAACTTTGCCCATGGGCTCGGTTGACTTCTTTTACTGGTTAAAGTTGTTTATATAATTTGGATACTGATCCTGTTACATACATTGCAAATATATTCTCCTAATCTCTTTATTTTCACCTTGTTTGTGGTGTTTTTTACGCTACACACAGTTTACATGTAATCAGACCTGTCCATAGTTGCCTTTGTGGTTTGTACTTTTTGGTTTTGAAATTATTCCCTACCCCAAGGTAAATATAGTCTCTATATTTTTTCCAGTAGTTGTAGTGGTTTTTTTCACATTTAGGTCTTTATGATATAGGGATGTTATTTGAGGATAGAGTGTAAGTATTTTAATCTTTTAAATTTCAATCGTATTTATTCACGTATGGCAAGCCGATGGTCCCAATGCCATGTATTGAATAGTCCCACTAGTGACTTGTGATGCTTTCTGTATCTGACACCCAGTTCTCACACTGGTTTTGCTTCCGTTTCTGGGCACTCTGTTCTCTCTTCCGCTGACCTGTGTGTTTGTTCCTGTACCATTTCCACCTGTTTAAATTACTATGGATTTATTAAATGTTTTGATAATTGTAGGGTGAATCATTATTTCCTTTTTCAACATTGTCTTAGATATTCGTTCACTATTCTGTGTAAATTTTACCCTCGTTAGAATTATATACTATCAAATCACATTGTAATTATCATATTTATAGAATGAAATAAAAACTAGCTAGTAATCCCTGAAAGAGGACTTGCCTTGTGTGGAATTTGATAGGGGTAAGGGTGAGGATGCTGATGCTGGAGATGCTGACATTGGCAGGGTAGGAGCCGGTCCCTACAGGGTCAGGAAATTAGGGCAAGGAGGATATGGATGAGAACGTTTCAGTCTTACCTGATATATTTGTTAATATGCTATGTTGTCATTGGCTGATGTTGCATATAGGTTGTTCAGAAGCCAAAGTAATGCTTCTAATTTAAAGTTTATGTTGGTGCTCACCCTAGCAATTCCATCTGGACCATATGAAAGGAGTGAAATGAATTAAATGTGGCTTATGGCCCCACACATATGGGAAAAATAATAAATGTGTGTAATGTGTCCCTGTATATGTAGAGTATATCATTTAACACTTTCATGATTTTATGAGGAAATTAGAATAGGAATTATCATCACATTTAACAGACAGGGAATCTGACACTCAGAGGAGGGAAAGTAACTGGAACAGGCTTCTACAGCTCATAACTCAGGGCCTTAGGATTCTAATTAACGTTTCTATGTTTTCTTTATTTACTGTGCTAAACCTTGCTACTCATTTGTCTCTTTGGATGGGCAACCAACTGCTTCAAAGCAAGATTGGTTATTGGAGAATTTTCCTCAGCAACTTCTAAATTGTTTATAATCTGGTTAGCATTTCCTAAAGTATTTTATTTTATTTTAAATTTTAAATTTGAGTTGGCATTAAACATTATATTAGTTTCAGGTGTATTGCATAGTGGTTAGACATTTACATAATTTATAGAGTGATCCCTCCCAATAAGTCTAGTACCCATCTGACACCATACATAATTACCAAATGTTGACTATACTAGTATTTCCTATGCTGTATTTTACATCTCCATGACTATTTTGTAATTATTGATTTGTACTTCTTAATCCCTTCACCTTTTTCACCCAATCTCCCCAACCTCCTCCCATCTGGCAACCATCAGTTTATTCTCTGTATCTATGATTGTGTTTCTATTTTTTTCATTTATTTTTTTCTTTAGATTCCACTTATAAGTGAAATTATAAATACTTATAAGTATTTATCCTAAAGTGTTTCAGAATCTACTTTAGAGTCACTGGGAAATCTGCTAAAATGTAGATTACTGGGCTCAGACTCACTGAATCTTAATCAGAGGTTCACTAAGTGAGCCCAAGATTTCTCTCAGGCATCATGCATATTTATGACTTTTAATTGGCACCAAAATTATAGTCATTATTCTTCCAGCAGGTGTTTTCAAGGTACTGCTTAGAATACCACTGGTTTAAGAACTTGATTTTTTTTGAGGCACAACTAATACAAATACTAAATATGTGTTCATAGTAATCTGAAAATGTTAATATTCCTACTACTCTGTCATCCCTTGTGGGAGGAAGGTTATTTTATATTTTTGCAAAGATTTACAAAAAGCTTGGTACCGGATGCAAAAGAAGTTAAGACACATTGCTGATTAATTAATTGTGATTTTGAATAATTTACCACCTGTTAGACATAGAAAATGACAATCAGATTTGGAAAGCTCAAAATCTACCACCTGATTCTCATAGATTGCCACAGTTACTTAAGAGTATGACATGGGGAATCAACATCAGGGAGAGAGGAAATTTGGAAAGGATAAAATCTCTGAGGATACAAAATAGAAAAGATGTACATCAAGACATTTCTTGAAGGTTCTCGTTTGCTTATAAACCATAACTTTTATATGGAGTGAAATGGCCTGGCTCTATTACTTGCGTACTAGGACCAGTATAGGTCCCTTATATTTTGAAGTCTCAGTTCTCTTGCTGCTAAAATTGGGATAATTAAAATCTCAGCACTGGTTACCTGTGCCGAGCCAGCTCAGCCAACAGTTCCACAAGCCTGAGCGAGGGTGGCGAAGGATGAAGAAAAGACAAAGAGAATAAGCTGGGTCTAGGTGATCTCCTGTGCCTGGCTGAGGCCACAGAGAGAGATCCAGAGGCAAGCTGAGCCTTTATTTTATAGCCAGAGGTAAACAAGGTAGTGGTCACCATAGTTACAATGTTCTTGTGAGTTTCACTTGTTTTGGCAGCACTTGCTGCACCTCCCACAGCCCATTAGCTACCTAGGAAGGATCTAGGGAGTGTCATAAGGTCAAGCCTAATTATGCTAAGAGGACTGTGCCCTCTAAGCTGGGACTTGTTTGTGGCTTTGCCAACAGGTCAGTCCGAGGCTTACCCCTATAGCCGTGCCCTACAGTTACCTACCTGCCTGTGTGGTTTCAGGGTCAAGGGAGCACCTGCACACAGAAGCACCTTGTAAACAGCCAAACAAAGGGAAGGCATAGTTAATATCAAGGGCAAGACCTACTTTCCTTGAGTCAGAGAGTTTCAGGCTTTGAAGAGTCACAGAGTTCCCTTCTGGCCTGTGCTTGTCTTTGTCTGAAAGGAGCTGGAGTGGGCCTGCAGGAAGGACTCTGCATGTCATCTTCACATCTGGAAAACCTCAGAGTCTCTCTCTCATCCTTCCTATGACCCTAATGGAGCAGTCTATCTCTTTCCCCCACATCTCGATAGCAGTTTGTTTACAAAGTGCTTAATACATTGTCTTATGTGTACACTGACTTGCTACTGCTCCCTAAATGCATTAGGGCAAGGACGGGTCCTATGGGACAGTGGCTGGTTATAGACTATGGCATCAGATTGCCAGGAGTTCAATCCTATTTCTTCTCCTTAATAGCTGTGTGACCTTCGCCAAGTCACTTAACCTCTCTGGGCCTCAATACTTATGGTAAGAATGTTGTGAAGATAAAATGAATGACTATGTTGAAGAGCCTATATAAATGCCAGCTCTCCCCAGAATCAAGAACAGTATAATATAGATTTTTGGAGTAACAGAATTTCCGAGGCCTTAATTTAGTATAAGGACGATGAACATGTGATATATGTGTTGTTATTTTCCCATGTTGTGTTACTCCATCAAATCTGCATGGTGTCCACTACCAATTGTTTGGACTTACCTTCTGAGAAAACACCTCTTAGCCATTCTCAGTTTATGAGCTGACATTAACTCTCAAAACATAGTAATCTAAGATATGGTAGTATATCTTAAGTGAAATATTATTATTATTTTTATTTTTTAAATTTCTAGTTCTCCCTCCTCAACCCGAAAACATCAAGATTTCCAACATCACAGACTCTTCAGCCATGATTTCTTGGACAATCGTGGACGGCTATTCTATTTCTTCTATTATCATCCGTTACAAGGTTCGGGGCAAGAATGAAGACCAGCACATTGATGTGAAGATCAAGAATGTCACCATCACCCGCTATCAGCTCAAGGGCCTAGAGCCCCAAACACCTTACCAGGTGGACATTTTTGCAGAGAACAACATAGGGTCAAGCAACCCAACCTCTTCGCATGAGCTGACAACTCTCTCCAAGTCTCAAGGTTGGTAGAGCGGATAGGATCGAGAATTATTTCGGAAGAGGATCAGAGAGCTCCACTGTCTTAAGATATTTAGCCCATATTTGTGTCGTGGGGCATAATTCATTTGTCCTAATAGGCTTCCCTATCTCTAGATAGGTCCTTTAAGTGAAAATGCCCCCTGGGAAGGCTCCCCTGCTGCTCCATTGCCTCTTATTAAACCTTGGACTGTATTAGCCTATCAGCATTCCCCATCCAGCAACAGAAGCTCTGAGGAATATGACCTTGAAGAAGAGTGTGGAACCTGCTTAGTGAAGGCAGAACTGTGAGGTGATGCTGTGGGAGGCTCCAAGAACCACACTCCATTCTTTCTCAAAATGAACTGCTCTTTTAGCCTGGGTGACACTATGCTATTCTGAGTTTTCTCCTACTTTTTGGATCAGGTTATTATGCCTACACGTCTGCCACTAACCACTCGCCCAGAGAAACTGAGCTCTTTGAGATCCAGAGATCCCTGAGTCCCAGGGGTTGTGACGGATAAAACCTGTGAATGTAATTAAGTGAACAAAGGTGGGGGCTGGAGGGGGGGCGCGGAGGCACAGCGTGTGGACGGCCTTCCCTTTGCAGTTTATCGGAAATCACACTTCCTAGTTCTCTGTATGTGTGACACGCGCAAAGAGACTGAGATAGAAGGAATGGTGATTGCTGAAAATTTAGCATTTGGAATAGAGTTTATTTTTACAGAAAATCTTATAGCACTAAACCCTTCTTGCTTTCTTCAAGGTTACTTAGGGCTTAAAAAATAAGATCAAACAGGCTATGTTTTCAATGCTGATTCTCTGGAACATTATTGAAATGTCAGAGGTATGATGAATCTGTCAACTATAGAAAATTACAGTTTTCCGGTCACATCCTTAACAAATGCATAATTTTTACAGTTGCTTGTGTTTTAGTAAAATGCATACAAGCTACATATAAAATACAAGCAGAAAAATTAAACAAGGCATAACAAACACCCCTCACCCTTCCATTCTGGACATTTCTTTACACACATGCACAGAGATAGAAGGAAAGATATATGATCGCAAAAGAATCTTGTAAGAAGATGGGGCATGCTCTACATGCTATTTTTCATAAAAATACATGGAATTTAATTTTGTTTGAATTTAAATAAGGGACAGAAGTGGCAGGATTAGACCTTAGTCTTTAATAGTTTATTTTGACTTGAGCCCTAAGTTTAATAGTTTTTCTCTTCCCTCCCTCCCTTGTTCCTTTCTTCCTCCTTTCCTTCCTTCTCCCATTGGTACCTTCAGGTTTTCTCCAACCACTTTTTAAAACAAGAAAAAAATCACAACAAGGTATCTTATTACTGACTCTAAGCTCGTAGCATCCTGAAGCTTTTCCGAGTGGGGAGAATGTGCGGGGAGGTTAGTCCCTTTCCAAAGTCACGCATCTAGTCAGCCATTCTCACTGCTGTTTGATCATGCGCATCAGCTGGGGCCTCTACTGGCAAGTAAAACTTGAACAAATGACGACTAACGATGAGTAGTACATTGCCATTTAAAAAACACTTTTGCACTTTTTTTTTTAAGGATCTTAAGACAACCCCATGAATCAGACTCATCTCCATTGAGTTTCAGAAAATAAATGAGTAGCCCTAGGTCCCATAGCAATTCGTTGGCTTAGAGCAGCGGTTCTCAACCTTCCTAATGCCGCGACCCTTTAATACAGTTCCTCATGTTGTGGTGACCCCCAATTTCATTGTTACAAATTGAACATAATTAAAGCACCCCTGTGAAAGGGTCGTTTGACCCCCAAAGGGGTATCAACCCACAGGTTGAGAACCACTGGCTTAGAGTCTCATTCCACCGCGACTTCTCCCCAGGCGGCCTGGGCCGCTCTCTGTCCGCACTAACCCCCCTGCGTGTCCTGTGTCCCCCACGCAGCACCAGCGGAGCTCGGCGGCGGGAAGATGCTGCTCATCGCCATCCTGGGCTCGGCGGGCATGACCTGCCTGACGGTGCTCTTGGCCTTCCTCATCATGCTGCAGCTGAAGAGGGCGACCGTCCAGAGGAGGATGGCCCAAGCCTTCCAGAACGTGGTAGTGTCTCCTTCCCACCAGCTCGCCAGCGCAGGGCCACACACACACAGACCCTTCACTTCACACACGCGCACTAGGCACTTTTCTTGTACACACGTCCTTTAGGCGACTCTCGCCTTCTCTTTGGCTTCCATTATTGAATGGGAGATGATAGCATAACCATAGGGTTTCCTGTCCAAAACAGGACAATTTTGAGAGCAAAAGAGGTTGCTCTTAACACTTAAGCAGGATACCAGGCCTAAGGCAGGACTGTCACCCTGACAACATGAGATGTATGATCATCCGAGGGATAAGTCACCGGAGCGAGTAATCTTGCAAAATAAAGAACCGGACACCTTTGGTAAGGAAGGACCTGAGGGCAAGCAGACCTCAGTGTGACAGGTTTTCCCCACATTTTTCCATGTCCAGTTCCCATTTCGTACGTCAGGTATCTTCCTCAATCCCACCGCGCCTCATATATGTAAGGATGATGTACACGTGTGCCTCTCCTACTCCTGCGTACCCTTCGGTCTGCAGTCACAGTGCAGGCCCGTGGCATGGCCTCTCCTTCATCTAGAAATTTTGACCAGTAGTAGCGAAGGTCTACAAAGTCGCGCTTCACCAGCAGGCATGCATTGGAGTCCTTTGGGATGCCACAGCCTGAACATCACTCTAGATTGTGGTATGAGGCCCCGTAAGATTAATTTGCACCCAACTTTGATGATTCTGTACACGAACCATTGAGTGCAATGGCGTGTTCCCAGTGAGGTGTATCTTGATGTGCACATGTCCCGAGATTCCGCTCGGTGGGGGACAGGGAAGCTGCATGATCTGACTCGGAGTTGCTCAACTCAGGCTGTCACTGGGGAGGCAGGACCAGCAAGGGGGATGGCGGTGCTGGAGCGCGTCACAATGCAGTGAGCAGCTACTTAAACTCGGAGAAAAGGAGCCCTGTGTTGGGCTTTGCTCTAGGCCTCAGTCACCCTGCAGCCAGTCTGCTCCACCGTGGGCCTGGGAGATTCTAAGCTTCAAGACAAATGGGAGAGAGGAAGGGAGGGATGAAGGGAGGGAGGACCCAGAATGGACCAAGGTGATGCTAGGAAGGCTCTCCATGTCCCGTGACTGCCCCAGCGAGAATCTTTGAGTTGTTTTCCAAGTCAGGATCGAATACTTGCTCATCCCACAGCAGAGTGTAGTGAGTGTACCTACTCAGGTGTAGATACCTCGGGGTCATGCCATGCCATGGCAGACATACTGTTACTCCGCTTCCCTCGCTCTGTGCAGACATGGTTAATCAGCTGTGGCATGCTTCCGTGCAGGCATTGCTAATCGGCTGTGGCATGCTTCCCCACCGAGGCCTGGAGTTGTGCCCAGGCCGCTCTGTGGACAGCCAGCTCACCAAAATGGGTTTGTTAGGTAACACCCATTTCCACCTCCATTCTAGAATCAGATTTCTTTGTTTACCTGGTGTGGCTACAACCTTAGAATTATTTTTTAAAAAACCCTGACATGACACCATGAAAACAATATCTTTCCAGAGGGAAGAGCCAGCTGTGCAGTTCAACTCAGGAACCCTGGCCCTGAACAGGAAGGCCAAGAACAACCCGGACCCCACCATTTACCCAGTGCTGGACTGGAATGACATCAAGTTTCAAGATGTGATCGGGGAGGGGAACTTTGGCCAGGTTCTCAAGGCGCGGATCAAGAAGGACGGGTTGCGGATGGACGCTGCCATCAAGAGGATGAAAGGTCAGTGCGTGGCCAGGTCGAGTCAGCACTTCAGCAGGGTGGGGAGAAAGCTGGGCTTCCTGTCGCAGCTTCCCTCTGTGGTCTTGCATTCTCTAAGCAAAACATTGGCACCGTGTCAGAGGCAGCTGTTCCGAGCAACTGGAGGTGAGGTTTCCTTTGAGGTCAGCCTGTGATAGGGTCAGGATGTCAACATGAAGATGAGCTATTTAAACACACTGTCTTGGTTCCTTGGGACACGAGAGCACAGATTCTCTGTCACACACAGATTCTCTGTTAGCAAACCTCTGGGAGCATTGCTGCTTCTCTCAGTGCAGTGGTTCTCAGAATTCAGCGCATCAGGATCCCCTGGGAGACCGGTTTAAAGGCAGCCCCCGGGCCCACCCCACGGTTTCTGATTCAGTAAGTCGGTTGCAAGGCCAGAGAGTCTGCAATTCCGATCAGTTCCCAAGTGCCACTAATACTGAGGGTTTGGAGGCCACACTTTGCAAACCACTGTTCCGTGGATTGTCTGCAACAAAAGTCCTGGAGACATAGTCAGAAATGCATCGACTGGGGCTTCTCCCAGCCCCGGTTCTGCTCCATTTGCCTTTCTTGGGGGGTGCAGGAGAAACCGTGTCCTTAGCTTTCTCGGGGACCCTTCTGCACACGTGAGCTTGAAAGGCACTGATCTCAGATGACAAGAACTAAATCTTCCAGTCGGGTTCATCTCAAGCCTGTTCGGTGCTTCCTGTTTAGCAAGCTTGGGTAATGAACGTCTTCTGAGAAGGCAGAGTCGCTGGCGCCCTGGCCACACTGGCTGTCCTCTCTCCTGTGGGAAACGGCAGCGCTCAGAGGACGCCAGTGTGAGGCTGGCCTCTTGCCGCATCGGCTGGGGCAGTGGTGTGCGAGAGCGGGAACGGACTGTCACGCTGGGTTGCTCCGTAATAAGGCTCTCTAAGGTCACTGCTGGGTTTCCTCAGAAACCCAGGACTGAGCAGCACTCTGCCTCGGACGAGAATTAACTCTAAATCTTACTCAATCACACTGCTTTCTGCATTGTTAGAAAACAAACAGCCCTAGCCAGTTTGGCTCAGTGGATAGACCGTTGGCCTGTGAACGGAAAGGTCCCAGGTTCGATTCCAGTCAAGGGCACATGCCCGGGTTGTGGGCTCAGTCTCCAATGACGGGCTTGCAGGAGGCAGCCGATCAATGATTCTCTCCCATCATTGATGTTTCTATCTCTCTCTCCCTCTTCCTTCCTCTCTAAAAATCAATAAAAATATATTTTAAAAAAAGAAAACAAACAAAACCAAATAAGCAAAATATTAACTATGCTTACAGAAAGTAATGTTTCAGTGCACATGTGCATACACACACACACACACACACACACACACACACACACACACACCTGCTTAGCAGCCTGGAATCCCTTTTTTGTTTTGCTGCCTTAGTCACAGGGAGTTTGGGGAGCAGTAAGGATAGTGAGGGAGAGAGGGTATAGGACCTTGTAAAATCAGTTTTTGTTGGGGTCTGACCTGAGCCTAACTGTCTACGTCATGCCCGTGTGAAGAGGTGAAATAGCTTAACAGCCCCAGGATGTGTGATTTCTGCAGGCAGATGACACATCCAAACGGGGGACACCCTCACTATAAAGAATGTCACATCTGAAATGCTCCCAAGGCACCGGCCCACGGCTGCTGTGGTGTATGTGGACAGGGATCGCCTGCTCGTTAGTCTTACAGGATCCTTAGCCCAAACGACACAGGGCCGTCATTTTCACGCACACAGACACCAGCACCCTGCTCTTTCTCTAAACACAGTGACCGCACACTGTCACCGACTCGAGGCTGATCTGTTTGGGCATCGATCCATGGGCCTTCCGCCCAGCCTGCTGGTGCCTGGTGATGCCCCCTCTGCTCCAGGTGCCAGTGGAGAGACAGGGCAACAAGAGATGAATGGAAGTCAGCTTCTATCCTACCAAGCAGCTTCTATCAAAAAGTCATTGGGATTTGAGTTTTTGCGCAGGTCTGGCTTGTGGAAAAGCAGTTAAAATCATGAGCAAAGTGAAGTGTGTGCGTTATTGGTGACGTTTCAATGAAACGTGGTCCTATTCCTCAGCACGTCTGCTTCGGGGTGGAGCTGGAGCTGGAAGAGCTGGAGTCCAGAAGTGGAGGCAGCTCCATCCCCCCTGAGGCCTCTCCCTGGGCATCTGACAGCAAATAATGAACAAGAACATGTTAGTGCAGTGAATCTCAACCAGAGCTGATTTTTTCCCTGGGAGGCAGTTGGCAATGCCTGGGTACATTTTTGGTTGGGATACTGGTATCTAGTGAGTAGAGGCTAGACATGCTGTGAGACATCCTACTATGCACAGGGCAGCGCCTACAACACCAGTACCAGTCCCAAGTGTCAGCAGTGACACGACTCTTCCTTCGCACCATCTCTGATTTCTCCATGGTTTTCTAGACCTATTGGTGGCCGAGTGCACTCGAGGGCCCCAGGGAGGAGGAGGGGCCAGTTGTTTCTGAAGAGGAATGACGGACAGGGATCCTAACTCTTGACCTTCTTCCCAGAATATGCCTCCAAAGATGACCACAGGGACTTCGCGGGAGAACTGGAGGTCCTCTGTAAACTGGGACACCACCCGAACATCATCAATCTCTTGGGAGCGTGTGAACATCGTGGTGAGATGCTCTTTCCTGTCTTTCCTGACAGGTTTTATTTATTTATTTTTTTAAACAGGCAAATTCCACATTGAAATTAGGAAAGAGAATAACCTTAAGTTACAGTTTCAATCTGAATGACTAGCCTCGTTTATAGACTGCGCTGAGGTTTGGCATCTTTTTGGAGGTAGGAGCTAAGGCGGGATCATTTGCCCTCTGATGTGGTTCAGCCATTTCCACCCAAAGGCATCCCTGGCTCCCACACGCCCTGTGCTCGCTTATCCAGAAGTTTGCTCAGCTATCTCTGCCGGAGCCCTCAGTCCTAGGCAGAGCGAAGGCCTTGGTTCTGGTTAACTATCTTCTCATTTCCTACCAATCCCATGCAGCTGAGGTTCTGGATGTCAAATCCATGAATGCCAGCGATCTGTAATATGTAAGCACTTGATAATACTTCGGGCAAATAATCATCATAATAATGAGCTTTATTATTTTCTCAACTTGTACAATTTCCTGTACAATTACATCGGAGCTTGACAACTACCCTATGTTGCACATACTCTTAAAGTTCAACCTACATTGTTGATTCGTATATTTGCTGAGCGCTTCTGTTGAGTATGTCATATATTATTAATTTAAATGTTTATTGAGAGACACCTCTGCATGCCACCTGGGTTGGTGGTTCGGAATCTATGCTTACACTCAATTTCTCGTGGAAAAGTTTTCTCCTACAAAAAAGCTCCACAGAGTAATTATTTACAAACTTGACAACCCCTTGTTGACTTTGCAGCACAAAACCAACAATGGGAAAGAGACTATTTCCTTTTCCTCAATTTATTAAACTAAAAATACTGGTGAGGCAGACAATACATCACTCTGCAATCTAATAGGGTGTCATTCTGAAAGTCAGAGCATGTCCGTTACGTTAGAGAATGGAGTAATGACATTTATTTTTGAGCCACTTCCTGAAAACAGTCATCAGCATGGGGCAACAGTAAATGAAAGTTAAAAAAAATAACCAACAACAGAAAAATATATCTTTTTCAATTTTGCTCTATTGTCACATTACGACAGGGGTGGGGAATGTCCGGCCCTCGGGCCGTATAAGGCCCATGAAATCATTTGGTCTGGCCCTGCCAAGGCATTGAGGGTGAATTAATTAAATGTTTGACCAAATATAGCAGGCTAATTTTTAAGTAGATAATTTCATATGGTCTGTGAATGATGTTATAAATATCCACATGGCCCTTGGCAGAAAAAAGGTTCCTCCCCCCTGCATTAGGGTGTAATTGATTGGTTCTTAAGGTTTATATTTCAGTAAAGAAGTGAGAAAGCATATTCATACCAGGAACTATGTATATCTTTCCTTACAGTCAACAGGATTCAGTGCTAGGAAATTTTTTTTATTTTGGCCAGAAATTTAATTTCTTAGAATACCTTTTAAGTTCAAAATCATTCCACATTTTAAATTTAGTTATATCAAAGGTATTAGCCCTAAAAAGATAGTAAAACCACTCTACTTTTCACTGGCTCCAAAGATCAATGTTTTATCAAAAAATATTGTTGTTGTTTTTTAAAGAAAAATAACCAATTGAATAAAAAATAAGACAATGGACCATAATGTGTTCTAAAAACCATTGTTTTATTTGTGTGTTTTTTCCGGTCTCTTTAAGCAAAATGCAACCTCTGACACTGGGCTCTGCGGCCCAGTGACTGGCAGTAAGGGGACTTGGTGTGGGTTTTAGGCAGGAGCAGAAGGTTGGGGAGAGTAAGCTACTAGCTGTGGGTTCTTCTGCTGTGGATATTTAATCATTGTTTAGTTGTCTTCATTTGTTTTTTAAAATAACCTCAAGAATAGTAGAGACACACTGAAATAACATGGCTGGCTCATATTAGGTTCTCAACCAGATTGAATAAAAAAATAAAAGATGAAGTGGCCCTAGCCGGTTTGGCTCAGTGGATAGAGCGTTGACCCGCAAACTGAAGAGTTCCAGGTTTGATTCCAGTCAAGGCACATACCTCAGTTGCAGGCTCAATCCCCATCCCTGGTTGGGGTGCGTGGGGGAGACAACCAATCGATGTGAATGGGTTGCAGGTTCGATCCTTAGCCCCAGTCAGGGTGCAGGGGGGAGGCAACCAATGGATGTATCTCTCTCACATTGATGTTTTTCTCTCCCTCTCTCTCTCTCCCCATCCCTCCCTCTTCCATTCCACTCTCTCTAAAAAAAAAAAAAATCAATGAAAAAATATCCTTGGGTGAGGATTGACAAAAAATAAATAAACAAAAAAAGATGATGTGGACTGGCTGCCTTACATGCCCTGGAAACAAATGCTTTAATTTCCCAAGACTGTTACTACAGAGTAGGTGGAAGCGTTCAGGAAGCTGGTGTTAGTCCGCATTTGGTGGGAGAGGGGAGGGGCGGGAAAGAGGGGCACCTTGGTCTCGTAGGCACTCTTCAAGTATGGCAGGAGGTATCGCTTCTCCTCCTGCTGTCCCAGCAGTACCGAGGTTGGTCCCACTAGATATGCTACTTGTAGATGACAAGTTTGAGAAGCAACTTCCAAGGGCCATAGCACATCTCAGAAATTTTGAGCTTTTTAGGCCCCCTGGTAAGGGTGTCTCTCCCTTTCCCCACAGGCTACCTGTACCTGGCCATCGAGTATGCCCCCCACGGCAACCTCCTGGACTTCCTGCGCAAGAGCCGCGTGCTGGAGACCGACCCGGCCTTCGCCATCGCCAACAGCACCGCCTCCACGCTGTCCTCCCAGCAGCTGCTCCACTTTGCCGCAGATGTGGCCCGGGGCATGGACTACTTGAGCCAAAAACAGGTTTGTCACGAGAAACCGTGCTTGGGACATCTTTCCTTGGAAATGCCCTCTAGAATCAGTTTAAATTTGTACGTTTTTTCCCAGTCAACCTCTCTTCTCTAATTCCTCTTACAATCTCCCTAATTTTAATCTTTTTGTTAATATTCCATCCATTTATATAGGTGTTAATGCTCAGCACGGGCAATATATTTTTCTAGTGAATATTACCATATGTATTTGGTGAAGTTCCTTAACCCGTCTTAGCCCAAATAATGCTCATAGCAGAGGACTTACATGGCAACGGGGAGATTTAATGACCTGGTTTCCCCCACTGAAATACATCTCCCAAGATTTGGTGGAATCCACTGAGGGCTTTAGGGAACAACTTCAAGGGAACTGGATTCTGGTGACATTTAAAAACCCATTTTCATCCTAACCTCTCATCGCTAGTTCCCAAAGTGCTGGCCCCCAGGGCATGGTACTAACAACATGACTTGAAAAAGCAAAGATGATGCTGGAAATACATGACGTTTTTTGAAATTTCAGTTTATCCACAGGGATCTGGCTGCCAGGAACATCTTAGTTGGTGAAAACTATGTAGCCAAAATAGCCGATTTTGGATTGTCCCGAGGTCAAGAAGTTTATGTGAAAAAGACGATGGTGAGTTCCAAACAGACCCACTAACGCTTTTCCCAAGGCGCCTTCCCACCCTGATGTTGTTGCTCTAAGACCACTGCTCTGCGGTGACCGAGGCGTCTACCTGGACCCCAGGAGATACGCCCTGGCCCGCAAACATCCTTTCTAAGTTATGGTTCCTAACATGACTGGAGGATCCAAACCACCATCAAAAAAGCCAGTATCACAGGTGGCCAGGTCCTCATTCACATGAGCCTCGCGGTGTAGGGCTCAGCTCTGGATCCGGCCAGACCCTGTGCGAGGAGCTCCCATATCTCCTTCCACGCACAGCAAACATGGGAGGGGCAAAAAAAGACACTGAGCATATTTTCCAAATATAAGGAAAGTCAATTAACGAGGTTCCCAAATCACACGGAGCCCCAGGGAGAAACTCGGGACTTCCAAAGGCCCACAGATTCCCCTCTTTGCAAAAAGCTCCCCACGCCCCTTTCAAGCCCAAATCAATCAAATCCACGTTCACCTAATGAAATCCATTCTCCCAAACAGTAATATTTAGCTTGTGTCCGATTCTGGGAGAACCTAACCACAGTGTTAGCAGAAGTGAGAAGTTGGACCTCATTCTGCTTTTGTTGCCCACCCTGGAATCAGAAAGCCCTGGAAATGCCACATCCCTGGGTATTCATACTGTGCCAGTGTGAAATCCCAGGATAGAAATCAGGGTAGAAGGAGAAACAGATTCAAAGGGGGTTTAGTGAAACAAGGTGGGGGAAAGGAGAAAGGGAGGGAGCTTGATGCATCAAGGGAGCACCCGCTGATGAAGAATATGGCTCCCTGGCTGCTGAGGGCCTGGCTTGGGGCTGGGCTCTCCATGCAGGCCCCTGGAGATTTCTTTGTTCTCCAGGTAAGCCCCCTCCTGTGGGCTGGCTCTGACTGGCACAGGGGCAGACACACTGGCTTGGGGAGTGCCTGAAGAGAACCCTGAGTCTTAGCTGGGAGAGGCTCAGAAAGTAACTGAAGAGCATTCTGCTGTCTTCAGGGAGGCTCAGCGGTCTCCCCAGCAGCATGCCACCACCCCTGCTTCCCCTGAGGCTGGGCTGCGGGGCTCGGGGTGGCAGTTCCTGTTGTCCTTGCATGTGCTTGCGGGGTCACTCAGTGGCTAGCTCTCCCTTTTCCAGCCGTGATGAGCATTGCCTGGGCTTGGCGCTCCTGGGACGGCTCCAGTTTTCCTGTGATATAGAGGCTGTTTTTACTTGGGGGCTCCCCAATTGCCTCCACAAGGCTCAGGTTTCAGAGTTTATCCTCCAACACAGGCTTCCTTTCTTTTCAATGCGCTTATTTTAGTGGCTGACAAGATAACACAGAAGCAAGATTCAAGAATGCTTTGAAAAGGAAATGACCTGTAGTTCACCACCGTGACACTTTTTTTCTATTTTTTACTTATTGCCTCCCACAAGCATCCATGTTTTCACAGTTACAGTCACAGTGAACGGAGCCACTCAGACCTTTCCACTCCTTTCCTTGTTCAGGGTTTGAAGTGGGGTCCCTTTGGCCCTTAGAGACACCACCCAACCTGTCACCTTCTGAACCCACAGGTGCCTCCCTGAGGGGTAGCTCCCTAAGCTTTTCAGAATTTGTCCCTCTCAAAGCAGATGTTTCTCTGCTGGGCTTGTCTTTAAGGTAGCAGGACCCACGACCCACTGCTCCACTTCCCCCCTCCCCATCCTGTGCCACCTGGAAGTCTCCTGTCTCCCTCACAGAATCCCTTTCCTCGCTTCGCTCCTGCATTTGGGTGCCGTGGTCCCTAGGTGAGGGGTGGAGGGATGAGTACGAGTTATCCCACAACCTACTCACTTTATTTGGATGCTCTCAGATGTCCAAGGCGATTGCTGGTTTGCTTGGTATTTCATAAAGAGCAGGGATTTGTGTAGTCTTGGGGAGGTTACGAGGAATTCTTAAAGGAACAGAGCACTGTTTGGGGCTTAACTCTATTTCCTAATGGCAGGGCAGTGTTCCCTGGTGGCATGGGGTCAGTGGAGGAAGGATACAGGGATGAAGAAAGCAGCGGAGGAAAGGAGAAGGGATTGGAGAGGCTGGCAAGGTCCTTGCAAGAAGGGTGCAATGTAGGAAGACACCACCGGAGGGCAGAGTGGCTACTTTCTCTGGCCCATTTAAGTCAGATTTTCAACTTGCACTTTAGAACCAGCTGGGGAGCTTTTTAAAAATACAGATGTGGAGCCCGGCTGCTTAGATATGCTGACTTAGTTGTTCTGCATCAGTTTGTGTGTGTGTCTGTGTGTTTTTTTTAAAAAAAATCCCAGGTGATCCTTATATAGGAAGTGTTGCCAACTAATGTACTAAGTGACATGGGATTTTATTTTCATTGATTAACATATGCTTTCCCTCATAATTGATTTTTTTTTACTACAATGTTTTGTACTTTGTGCTAAGTTTGGAGATAAAGTAAGTCATACACAGTTTCCACCTTCAAAGAGCTCACAGGTAAACACAATGAACAACTGTCATCATTAACACATGCCGAGGGGCAGGAAAGCACATGCCATGGGAACACAGAGGACGCACAGCCAGGTGAGCCTATGGAAAATCATGGAAGGCTTCCTGGAGGAGGCTGAGTTGCAGTGGATATTAAGTAGATAGCAGTGATGTGAGAATGGATTCGATGATCTGGAGGTGCAGGATGTCTAAAAGCCTTGAGGCAAAGGGAAATATGAGACATTTGGGAATTAGGTAATTCAATATGGCTGGAGTGTCATGCTGAAAAGAGAGTTAAAAATTCAAGGTTGGGGGAGGAAGAAGGGATAGTGTCTTCTTGAAAAACCTTGAATTCCAGCTAAGGATTTGGGATTCAACTAAGGATTTGGGATGTTGGGACAATAGGGACATGGAGAAATTTTAAGGAAAGGCACCACGTGGCTGAACTTGCCATTAAGAGTGACACTCTGCTTGTGGTGTGGAGAACAGACCCTTAGGGAGAGGAGGGTGCCATCCGGTAAAAGGTGACGGTGGCCTGACCCTCGGTGATAGCAGTGGGGACAGATAGCTGTGGACAGATCTGAAACAGGTGAAAAAATGAAAAGTGCACAAGGAAATTAGTAATTAGGAGGAATGAGGTCAGAAGCCACCAGGGAAGAGAAAGCAAAGTCAGAACAGAGAATGTAGGAACTATTTCCAGTCCTTAGCTTTGCTGTGGGGAGAGAACTAGACTAGCAGGTAGGGATGTGGGTGGGGTGGGTGTACTGTGAAGGGAGGTGGAATGTTGAGAGTACTGAAGATGTAGATGTGACAAAGGACACTTCCATACCTGAGCCTTAAAGTATGAAATTCCTATTCAGGATTTATGAGCAGAAAGAGCTTCACAAAGACCTGGGAGAGAACTGAGCTTGCAGGCATGACCCTGGGGCGGGGCTGGGCTCACGGGTGGGTGGTCTGGGAGGACGCCTGCTCCAGTGTCAGGGGGCTGAGGAAGAGCCCCTAAAAGACTCCTGACTCTGTCCCACCCAGCGAATGTGGCTAAAATGCCACGGTCAGCACCTGGACAGATCCCTGGCACAGGTATCTCTCTCAATAGGTTCATAGGATCCCTGGGGTGGGTGGATAGGGAGCCCCAAATCAGAGCAAAATTGAGGAAATTAGGAATAAAACTCAGAAGTCACACTCCCCAATGTCTAGTCCGCATCTAATTTTTCCAAGACTGGACTCAATAAACCAGAAAATGGGGATAGCCTAGAGGGCCAGGCCCCCAAAGTGTGAGTGTGTCTCACCCCACCTCCAAACCCCGTGTAAACCATGAGGTCCTTCCCTCCGCTGGTGGTACATCTGCACCCCGCTCCTTGTGGCCTGCCATGCTCTCTCCTCCCCTGCCCACCTGAGCCGCCTACACATCTCAGAACCAAGCTCGAAGTCCCCTCCTCTGGCAACTCTTCCCCCACCTCCTGCACCGCCTTCGCCTTCCCACGTTACAATTTCAGTCTCGGTTTCTATGCCCTGTCTCCCCTTTCAAACCTCTGAGTGTCTCTGAGAGTCACAAATTGAATAAAAGAATGACCCTGGCTGCTGTAGCTCAGTGGTCAAGGGCATGTACCTGGGTTGCAGGTTTGATCCCCAGCCCCGGTTGGGGTGCGTGTGGAAGGCAACCAATCAATGTGTCTCTCTCACATTAATGTTTCTATCTCTCCCCTCTCTCTCCTACTCTCTTTACAAATCAATGGGAAAAATAGCACTGGGTGAGGATTAATGAAAATAAAATGAAAGGAATAAGTGACTACAAGTACACACATACACTCACATGCAAACCCATTTTAGTTCATGTAAAACTGCAGTAGGACCCCTGGAGGTAAGTAGGACTTACATTACTTGCAGGTCTTTGAATTTGAAATCACACTTGTAGGTGGAACATATTCAAACAACAGCTCCTGAGCCTGTCATTCCTTGTGTCTTTGGAGCTCACATACGGCTCCCTGGGGCCTGAGTGAGCCCCGCCTCGGGGAAGCCAGCCTCATGCAGGGTCCTTCCCGCCCAAGTGCATCTCCCTTTGTTCTCTGCAGGGGCGGCTCCCAGTGCGCTGGATGGCGATCGAGTCCCTCAATTACAGCGTCTACACAACCAACAGTGACGTGTGAGTACGCCTCGCGTCTCTCCGGGAGCAAAGCTACTCAGTACATAAAGTCATAGACTAAATGGAGCCAGAGTGGCAGGGTCCGGGGTGGAGTCACGGAGGGAGGCTTGGGTTTCCTTCTGCTGGTCAAGGACAGACCTCGTGGCCAAGGCTTGATGTCCAGAGGAGCAAGGGGCTCACCGGCCCCCCTCCGGGGCTCCACTTCCAGACTGAGCTTGGTGCCTGAGACCCAGATAGCTGCTGAGGGTCAGGGCTGGCTGGGGGGTCACCCGGGAGACCACCTCCCTTGCGGGCTGCAGTGACAAGGCTCGGGCTGATGGTGGAAGGAAGGGGTGGGATTGAGACTTAGACCATCTTACCCACATGCCCTATTTTCAGGAGGAAAAACTGAGGCCGTGAGGGTTGAGGGGACTTGTTCAGGGGGTTTTCTTATACTGGCGGTGAGGAGGAGGTGGCAATTACTGTACCCGCACTGTGTGCAGGGCGCCTTTGAGGCGTTATCTCACATCATGTCCGCATAGCTCAGAGGTAGAAGTTGGCATCCCCACTTTCCGAATCATATACGAAGGCCTGAGGGTGTAGTAATTTATCCCAGGTTGCAGGAGCAGCAGGTGGCGGAGGTGGGATTTAACGCCAATTTGTCTGGCCTAGAATTTGACCTGCTTCCCATAGCACCACCTGTACTCTCTGCCTGAAGTAAGTGGGGCTCCGGCAGGACCGGCCATTTCCCTGTTACAATCCCCCCGAGACCAGGAGGAGAGGAGCACGTGCTGTGTGCATGGGCCCGTCCCAGCGAGCAGACACTTAGCACTCTCTCTTCGAGGAAGGGTCAGTCCTCCTGGCTGTGGGCAGACGATGACTGCTTTAGCGCTTTGAGGATGCTGATGATTGCTCTCCCACTTCCCGCCCGCAGATGGTCCTACGGAGTGTTACTGTGGGAGATCGTGAGCCTAGGTGAGTATCCGGTGTGTCTCCCAGTGCCCCTCACTGTGGACCCCACAGGGACCATCTGTATGCGGTGCCACCAGATGTCACTTGGAAACAGAGCCGTGTGGGTTTCCACGCGTGAGTGGGTTTTAGTCCCATGTTTCTCCATATCTGATGTCACGTATAATTGTAACAACCTGGTGGCCGTGAACTTTGTTATAGGTTAATTGTCCCCGCTTGTGCAAAGATGTCAGAGAGCTCTTCCAGGTTTATTTCCGTCAAGGTGGTATGATGTAGTCGAGTAAAAAATCACATTTTGAAGGCTACTGAATAGCCTGTGAGAGTGTGCATGCCCCCCAAAATAAATTTCACATTCATCATGACCCCAGTTTTAAATATTACACTTTAAAAGACTGGAAGGACTACACAGAAGGGTAATAAAAGCTATTGTATTTTTTTTCTTCATACTTTTCTATATTTTCCAAGTTTTCTACAACTGTGTATGCTTTTAGATTTAAAATTAGACAGGAGCTGTTGTAGATAAAACAAGAATTATGTAATGTAACTACTTCCAGTTAGGAAAAGGATACACCTTGTTGATACGATGGGTGTGCTGTGTGCGACAGACTTGGAAAGCAGTAGCGCAGTGAGGTAGGACGTGGATCTTTGCACTGTGGTGCCGTCCGTAGCCCAAGGCCAGCTTTGCTTGCGGTGGGTGTGCTCAGAGAGGAAGGTCATGCTGGGTGTGCACCCTGACACACTCTTCCTTCTCCCAGTCTCTTGGCTTCTGAGCCCCTGGGCAGAAGACTTTGGCTTCTGCCCTGGAGGGGCTGAGGGCACGGTGTTTCCTGTCTTCCAGGAGGCACCCCCTACTGCGGGATGACGTGTGCAGAGCTCTACGAGAAGCTGCCGCAGGGCTACAGACTGGAGAAGCCCCTGAACTGTGACGATGAGGTGTAAGTCGGGCCTGTCCTAGGGCCATTTATCTTCACCTGCCTGCTGCCTGTTTCGTGGGTAGAGAGATTCCAGTGAAGGGATTATCTCACTCCTGCACATATACATATACCTTCATGCACGCACACACTCATGGAGGTCACAAAGAGCAGCGATAATGGGGTTCTTTACCCTAAGCTGGTTGTGCAATGGCAGGGAGGAGGAGCGTCCCAGGCATGGAAATCCAGGAGGAACTGAAGGAGACAGTTCTTGGGAAGGCTGAAGATGAGGTCAGCAAAAGCAGAAAAGATCCAAAAGTGATGACATTATTCACAAATAAATGTATGCAATCTTGAGATGAACTCTGGGGATAGAATTTCAGAGCTGGTACATTAAGGAAGATGGATTTTTCTTCATGGGATTTCGCTTCTATAAAGATTACTTCCCACAGTAAAAATTACTCCGGGGGAAGAATGGTGAACTTCAGTGATAGTGGAATTCCCACGCTTGGCTAAGGGAGAAGCTGCCTAACTGGTGTGATTTGAAGAGTGGAAGGCTCTAGGTGGAATAAATAATTTATGTCTAAGCTGAGCCACTTCCAAGAATGAAAGAGGGTGTAATTAGGTTCCCGGCACAAAAGACACAACCTCTTCCGTCCTGGGTAGACCTTCTGGTATGTAAACCATCTCTGGACCAAGTCTCCAAAATGCCACCTTTTGAGATTCATCCCATGAGGAGTGAGCTTTCTCAGTTATGAAACTTCTGTTAAAGTACAAACTGTTCTAGAATCCTTGACATCCAAGGCCAATGGCTGAGAGTCTGTGCACATTAGGTTCCCGGAGGCACTTGTTCAGTATGTGAAATCTTGAACCTCATTCCCAGGCATTGGTTCAGAGGGTCTAGTGCGGGTTCCCAGTGTTATGCCCAGATTTCAGGATCCCCAAGAAACCACATCAGGGAGCCAGCCAGTCCGATGCAAAAGCATAAGAGTCTTTATTCGAGCTAGCTCGGCTCCCCCACCTTGCCGACACAGCGACAGGAAGCAGAGAGAGAGAGAACTCTGTGTGGAGACGGGTTTTATAGGTGGGGGTTGGAGTAAGGGGAGGAGAAAGGACTGTGGCCTTGCCGATTGGCCAGGAGCAAGTCGGTGTCTTGTTCCTGGGTGTGGCTAGCAGAGGCTTAGACTTCCGGGAAGAAGCTCCTTGCCAAGCACGTGGCCAAGGTAAGATGGAGGGCGTAGCCCTTACCCTGGGGCAAGATGGAGGGCGTAGCCCTCGCCCTTTCACCCAGAATCTGCATCCTGATAATGCAAGTAGTTCTGGCCACATCTGAGAAAGTACTGCCTTCGACCATGCTTTCCCAGCTATGTTTATGGAACATGCAAGACGTTAATAAATAACATAGGGAGAAAGGAATCCAGGGGTCAGTTATACTAGTATTTTGGAAGTGTTGTGCTAAACCTGGTTAAACAGGTTTTTTGTTTGCTTGTTTTTAAAAATATATATGTATGTATATTTTTTATTGATTTCAGAAAGAGAGAAACATCAATGATGAGACAGAATCATTGATCGGTTGCCTTCTGTATGCCCCCCACTGGGATCCAGCCCACAACCCGGGCATGTGCTCTGACTAGGAATCGAACTGTGACCGCCTGGTTCATAGGGGTCGGGGCTGACCAGCAGCCCCTGAATGATGGATGACAGATTACTCAGACACAGTTGGACTGTGCAAGAGAGGGCTAAGGGGCCCAGCCCCTGAATGATGGATGAACAGATTACTCAGACAAGTTTGACTATGCAAGAGAGGGCTAAGGGGCCCCTGGCTTTAGTAGCCAGAGCAGCCTCCATTGCCTGCCTCGTTAGGCCTTTATTGGAATTTTTATCTTTAGATACAAGTAGTAGGGTGGGTAATCTTGGGAGGACACGTGTGTTTACATTGTCCTCTAGTCAAGGGCATCCAGGGATTAAGCATGAAGATTCCAGTAAACACCCAGGGGTCTGCACATGCACAGACTTGTTTGGAAAGGTCCAGGAATAATTAGGGGGCACCGCCTTCAACTTTCCCCTAAGTCGGAATTCTGATAAACAGGCCAGGTGGCCTTCCACACACTTCCCTTTTATCAGAATGTCCTCCTTACAAACTTTTCAACCAAGTCTCTGTGCTCCCCAACACATAGGTCGATGCTCAACCACTGAGCCACACTAGCCAGGCTGTTTGCTTGTTTTTAATGGCAGGATTTCTCAAGATTTTACTAGCTGATCCCTAAGAGCAGTGGTTCTCAACCTTCTGGCCCTTTAAATACAGTTCCTCATGTTGTGACCCAACCATAAAATTATTTTCGTTGCTACTTCATAACTGTAATGTTGCTACTGTTATGAATCGTAATGTAAATATCTGATATGCAGGATGGTCTTAGGCGACCCCTGTGAAAGGGTCGTTCAACCCCCAAAGGGGTCGCGACCCACAGGTTGAGAAGCGCTGCCTCAGAGGGATATGCAGAAGTGGCAATTTTGCACACTTACTTGAGCTTGAAGCCATTTTTAAAAAATGAAACACTAATACTTTGAGAGATGTAGTATTCCAAGGAAAATGCTGCCCTAGAGACATAACTCAGTTCTTTCCAGAAGAGCTGAGGCCAAGATCCCCAGGCATGGTACCCAGGGTGGGCGTCAGATCTACGGGGAGAGGAAAGAGGGCTTGGACAGGGAGGCGGGAGGCCTAACAGGAGCTTCCCAGTGCTGTACCTCTATCTCCTGCTGCCTAAGCTTAATGACCGGGGGTTGCATGGCCACATTCTCTTCTCTTATTTCCATGCTCGGCACCTGGCCAGGCCCAGGACTGCAGCACAGGCACTGAGTTAACCCTTTAACTCTTTGTTTTCAAAGGTATGATCTAATGAGACAGTGTTGGAGGGAGAAGCCATACGAGAGACCCTCATTTGCCCAGATTCTGGTGTCCTTAAACCGGATGTTAGAAGAACGAAAGGTGAGTATGGAGTTCAACCAGGGGCTCTTTCATTGGAATTCCTCATGTGCCCAGTGTGGCGAATAAAAATAGTCTGATGTGATTTAACAAGTTCCTCTGGGCACAGCCCTAGGTATTATAGGGACACAAAAGATGTGGCCCCAACCTTGAGAAGATACAGTTTGGGAGGGGATAAGATCTCTATACAAGATACAGTCACACACAGAACAACATATAAAATTAGCCTATTTGAGTTAGAAGGATTCTTAAATCTTATCAGCCTGGCCCTTTAATTTTATAGACGAGGAAACAGACTCAGCGGTGAAGGTGACTTGCCCAAGGGCACACAGCAGGCAACACCAGAGCATGGTCTGCAGGTTACTAGGGGGAGGGTCAAGAATTCTATAAACATTTCTTTTTTTTTTTAAAATATATTTTATTGATTTTTTACAGAGAGGAAGGGAGAGAGATAGAGAGTTAGAAACATCGATGGGAGAGAAACATCGATCAGCCGCCTCCTGCACATCTCCTACTGGGGATGTGCCCGCAACCCAGGTACATGCCCTTGACCGGAATCGAACCTGGGACCTCTCAGTCCACAGGCCGACGCTCTATCCACTGAGCCAAACCGGTTTCGGCTATAAACATTTCTAGAAGGTAGCTGGCTTGATGTATCTGGAGTTAAAAAAGATGAATCTAAGTCAGGGAGATAGATTTTGACGTCATCCAAACCCAAGTGGTGATTAAACCAGAATGAGATGCGGGTTTGATGACACGAGTGCCGTGAAGGTGAGAAGTGGGCAGAGGCAGGGGCCTTAGCAGCCGGAACACTTCAGGAGGGACCAGTGAGAGGAACATTTACTGGCAGAAGTCAAGGGGTACATACAGTCCAGAAAGAAAGCTATCAAATACAAAAGGAACCGAGGACAGAAAAGGGTCCCTCAAATACCTGGTGTTTGAATGGAAACAAGCAAAGGACAGCAGAGAGTTGCTGTGACTGCCCCCGCAGAGGCGGCCGCCTCTGAGCCACCCTTGTTCTTCCAGACCTACGTGAATACCACGCTGTATGAGAAGTTTACCTACGCAGGGATCGACTGCTCTGCTGAAGAAGCGGCCTAGGGCAGGCCTCCACCGTCTATGTATTCTGTCGCCCCTTCACGGGCACCAGAGACCCTGACAGCCAAGACAGCAAGCGAGCCTGTGCCAAGGGAGGAGACGGAGAACAGTGGAGTGTGTATACTGCTGGGTGTCTGGGACTTTCACACGAAGACCCGTGTGTGAAGCTACAGCACACTCTGACTCTACACAGAACTGTACATACTGTTTTGAGTAAGAATGGGCTGAACTCAGAATGCCTGTTTGTGGTTTCATATGCAATAATATATTTTTCTAAATATGTGGATTTTAAAGACAGGTGTGACAGTACAATGACTGTAATGCATAACTCATTATTGTCCTAGATATTTTTGATATTTACCTTTATATTGAATCCTCTAAAATGTCTTGCTGTATAGAAGTAAAATATTGTTAACAAACCTAACACTGACCCTGAGAGCACAGGTAAGAAAAGTGTGGGAATTGTAGGAGTCTTAATAGGACATGGGTTAACATTAAAGAGACGGAAAAGTCCAGGTGATGACATGTAAAGCAGATTCTCCTGTCTCTAAGGCTTCTCCCTCGCCGGTAGCAGCCATCCAATTTCACAGTCATTTGACAACATGCTTACGTGTTACCAGTACCCATCAGTCTGTCCAGAACATTAACATCTAATAATAGATGTACGTCTCATTCCTTACATGCCTAAAACCTTGGGACATGTATAAATAAGTTTGAAAGATAAATGAATGGGATTTGGTTTTAGTTTCTCTGGTAACATTGATTTGTGTATTTGAAGACATTAAAATAGGAAGCCTGGAGTTACATTTGGGAGACATGTGACATTTATCATGTCAAATTAACATACCTAATGTATTGCACATTGTAAAAACTTTGTTTTGACCCGTCGTACGTTTACTGTTTATACTGTAGGCACACGTTACACTGAGATCATATAGTAAGTGAATAAATGTCTTGCCTACCCACTGTTTTGCCCAGCAATGTGTCTCATAGGTGTTTCCAAATGTCTGCATTGTACTCTATAGAAAAACACCTTAAATCGTCATTCTCTAACTTGTCAGTAACATGCCTGTAGAGCAGTTGCTGGAATTCTCCATTCGGCATGGTATGTCAAGCTCACAGATTGGAAACGTCTTCCAGAATGTTCTTGCACCAGAGCAGCACTCCACTGGGAGTGGTCCAATGAGAACCCAGGGCTTAGTGCTGGATTCCCTTCTAATTGTGTGATGATGCTAAACAGTCAACATACCGCATAAAGTTCCATGTTCCTGCCATCTAACCCACTGTATGCGTTCAGCAGCAAGGACAAGGAAACTGAGTTTACCCAAAGGATCTTCATTCACAACAGCATATTCAAGGGGAGACAGAGGAAAAAGCAAGACTGCTGGTAGGCCACTGATTTAACCAGTAAGTGGAACCTCGAATGAAGAGCCGTTGAAAATATGTCTAAATACACTTGACCCTTGAACAACGTGGTGGGTGATAGGGGTGCCAATCACCTGTGTAGTTAAAAATCCATGTATATAATATTTGACTTTCCCCCAAATAATCTGTCAACCTGAGGCCTTACTGATAACAGTCAATGAACACATATTACATATGTATTAATACTGTATTCTTACAATAAAGTAAGCTAGAGAAAATTTAAGAAGAAAGTCATAAGGAAAAATACATTTATAGTCTTTGTTTTAAAAAAAACAAAACTCTATGTGTAAGTGGACCCATGCAGTTCAAACCCCTATTGTTCAAGAGTCAACTGCATACAACAGTTCCTTTTGCTTTTCACCCAAATTATGTAGTATGTAGAGATACTCCTGGTTACTCTTGGTTTGCATGTACACAGAACTGAACAAGAATAAGATGATCTGAAAATACAGATAATTTTGCATATGGTTTTAGAAAGCACAGTAAGGTTTTTTCCTATTATAGTTGGGTTTTATCTATTTAAAATAATTAAAAATTCCATCATTATGACTTTATCTCACATCAAGTATATGACAAAAGCGATGGCTAAGTACTATGGTAGCAAGAAAAAGGTATTCAGTGATAATTAAATTCTTGTAAATTCAAAATACCCACACAGTAAACCTAAGGTATGCTTCCTGAGGGCATATCACAGTCGACTATCAGAAGGCGACTAATTCCCTTTGGTGCCAAGCTACACCACCCATCACTCTGTGACTCATCTACACCATGTCAAAGGAACCTCTGTAGTCTTGTAGCATGTTGCCAGATTAATATAGAAGATCATGGACTTTTACTCAAAGGGAAATTGTCAAATTGAATAAAGCCATTTAGTTTCCACATTACCAAAGAGCAATTAAGAAAGAACCTCCTCAAAGAGATTAGACACTTCAGGTATTGGGAATATAGATTAGAACTCACTATGTTTAAAAGAGCCATAGGATATTCCCTTTAAAAAGAAAATCAGTCCTGGCCGATTTAACTCAGTGGTTAGAGTGCCAGCCCACAGACCAAAGGGTCACGGGTTTATTCCTGGTCAAGAGCACATACCACAGTTGCAGGTTCATCCCTTCCCTGTGTAGAAGGAGGTAACCAAACAGCATTGATATTTCTCTCTCTCCCTCCCTTCCTCCCTCCAGCTCTCTCTAAAAAAAGTCAAATCCTCTGGTGAGGATTTAAAAAAAATCAGCGAATTGTTGATATAAATTAAAATCAAGTAACAGAATGTAAGATGGGAAACATAAGAATCTTAGAAGAATCCACAGGCAGCAAAATATCAGACATATGTTGTAGCAGTATCTTTACCGATATAGCTCCTAGGGCAGTGATGGCGAACCTTTTGAGCTTGGCGTGTCAGCATTTTGAAAAACCCTAACTTAACTCTGGTGCCGTGTCACATATAGAAATTTTTTGATATTTGCAACCATAGTAAAACA